TACTAAATCCTGGAAGTGAAAAGAGAGCATAAGGCTTCGACAAATGATTTGCTGCTCTCTCCTTTCTAAGTATATCACAGAAGCCTTTGGCGCAGGACATTTTGAATTCTTCAAAATAAGTAATGCAACACAGAAAAAATGAGAGAAAACATAAACAAGTTGGTTGAAGCCAGCAGCTTCTAGTGAATGCTCGTAAACACAAACTGGCTCCTAAGTCAAGTTTCAGGGTGAAATGCGGCTGACACATTTCGCGTTTTCTCTAGTTCTTGTGATCGGTATACATCACCAAATCCCTTCTAAACCGAAGAAAAAGGTAAGCTGCAACGTTACCAAGAAAGTTTCCTTATTTTTTAAAGAGCATTAGCTTTTTAAATATAGAACGCTTCTCTCGTTATGTTCATTTGAACTCAGATACTAACACTACTTTTCAAGAATATTTAAATGATCAGAACAATGAACTTGATAATTTCACGTCAACGGTTCATTTTGATTTAACATTGAATTTTTGTCCTAAAGGTATTATTTTATGTTTTTGTCACTACTTCTTTTTTTAATAAGCTGCCACAGTATAGGGATTCACATCTTTTATACCCCCTTCTATGGTACACCATTTGAAAGGTGCAAAACTGAACAGCTCGTTGAAGTGCGTATCCTAAGTCGATACGATCGTAAAATATTTATTAGTTGAGTATTTAATTTTGGTATTGGATAGTAGCCTGTTACGTTCATAAATGCTAGCTGATCGGGTAAGGCGCCCGCAGAACACATCACTGAATAAGCCTTTGTGTAGAATGGCTTAGGAACAGAGTAGTGTAATGACGTGTTTCAATTTTGTCAAGCAGAGATGGGAAGACTGGTCTTACTTTGTTTGCTAAGTGCTAAGGTCAAGCGTACTTTTACATTTATGAGCTCGCTTCACCGAGGGTGTTTTATTATATGAGTTTTACCCTTGAAAGCCTAACACTGACTGCAAATTTGTTTAGTTTTTGTGTTTGTATGTTCATAATTGCGTAAGCGTAACAACTCCTGTTCCTCCCAAGGTGCTCAAGTTTGTTTATCAAAGTTATTATTGAACATTACAAGATGCTGTTAGAAGTAAATGGGTTATAACGTCCTCTCGT